CTTCCCCAGGTGTCCTTTGTGGCTCACGTTGCAGGTGGCCTGGCTGGGATGTCCATAGGTTACGTCATTTTCAGCTGCTTTGATAAGAGCTTTATAAAAGATCCGCGATTTTGGATTTCTATTGTTGCTTATTTGGTCTGTGTTGTGGCTGCTGTATTGTTTAACATCTTTCTTTCACCTGCAAACTAAACCAAACTAATCGTGAAAGAATTGTTAAAATCTTCAGGGAACTGACATAAAAAACTTGTCATTTTTGTATAACTACAGAAGGACTCTGTAAATGTAGTCTTTTTTTAAACAGTTTTTAGATTTTTAAAAAGTCACCTTGACAGTGATCCTGTCTCGGAAATTAAATGTTTTTACTAAAATATATAACGTAAAAAAAAAAACCCCAAAAAACCCAAACCCCCCCCACCCCCCCCCCGCCCCAATAAAGCCTTTTCCATATTATTGCTTTGTATACAATTGAACTAAATAAAATGGTTCTTGGTTGCTTTTATAGATTTCTTTTCTACTTTGTTTTAAACCGAGTTGCCTTTGTGATGTGACTAAATACGAGATATCAGAGATTACTTTTTCACGTAATTTTTCACGTTTTTTACCAGTGTTCCGGTCTCAAAACTAGCGATCAGTAAAACGAAGTAATCTTTTTAGAAGATGGTGTAAGGTTTTACAGCTGTATATTTATTTACATACTTGATGTATATGCTGCCCGTACCAACAAAGGCTCAGGGCAGCTTATACTAAGAGGCAAAATAACTTTTATAAAAGCAGATTGACTATTAAAATAAGACCTAAAACAAAAGCCCCCTCCCCAGCTTATCTCTGCTTGCTAAATTCCTGCCAAATTAGGAGGGTCTTAAGGCATTTCAAGCTCGGGCTCTGGCACGCCTCAAAGGGGGAGGGAGTTCTGGAGTTGAGGGAGTCCCTGCTGAAAATGTCCTCCGTGCAGCTGCACCGAGCAGACACTGACATTGGTGCATTGATGGTACTTGCAGGAGGGTGGTCTTGGCTGACTTCAGGGATTGTGATGGGCTGCGTAAGGGAAAAGGCTGTCCCCTAAGTGTGTTGTGGGTAAGGGAAAAATACACAGTGTAGAACAGATAGGGTTTTTCCTTCATCTTTCTCACCTTATAATACAAGCCCCATTAACTTGGTCCGAGCAGTGGGATCCAGTGCGCTGTTCTGTTCCTGCAGTCAGTGGCACTCTCTGCAGACAGAGGAAGTTTTCCTGGCAGCTTGTCTTTAAATTTAAAAAGGTTAGGGGGATTATACATAGAGCTACGGCAAGCCTGCCTTTCTGTAGGGTTCCTTGGACTTTCCTCCAAACTGGCAAATAATAGCTCCTTTTGCAGACAACATAACCTGTGTGGATCATGAAAACGTAACCTAGGGCTGGAAGGAGCTCTTTTGACTCCAGTCCCCTCCTGTTGCACATACCATGCACCATCTTCACTCATGAAATAAATTATTTGCACCCAATGTGGATTAGTTGTGTGCCCTGGCTGCTCCTTTGGCAGGCTGTTCCAGCGATTTGGGAGCCCTAAGCACTATGTCTGTCTTGGATTTTGTAATCCAGGAAGGGCAGAGACTCTCCCTCTGATGCCTCTAGGGTGAAAGAGAGGTTGGTTTGTACTGAATTTACTTCTCTCTTACAGGAACCTCCTGGCACTGAAATACTGAGCCTGTTCAGACTGGCTCTTTGTTCTGCATTTTATATAACCTTGAGAAGGAAAGGGAAGGGTTGCATGCCATGGTGAAGTCCAGATAGAAAGGGTTCTAGAGGCTGGTACCTGAGACTTGATTCATCCACACCAGCAAAATTGGCAGCAGTATATGCTGTAGATAACAAAATGGCCTGTTTCTAGGAGAAACATACCAAAGCATGAAATACTCATCATCATAATAGTCAGTATTCTCATGAAAATGGAATTACAAGTATTGCTACATAGAGTAATTTGATGAGTCTTTAATTTCCCCGACTAAGAAGTCCAGGATGACACTATTCCAGTCGACGGTTATATCAGTTTCAGTGAGTTAAAGATTTCTTGAGCATAATATTATGTATTGTGGAAGCGAATGTTTCTCTTGCCACCTATCTTTTAAAGCAAAACAAAACCAAGTTCCTTGAATTATTGAGTCTGTCCACTCCACTGCTATAAATATCCTAACTGGGGAGAATTTAGGGATTTAGGTGGATTAATATTCTGTCTTTTTAATTGATATTAAAAGCTTTTGATGAGAAGGAAACATGTTTAGAAAGGTGTTTTAAGTAGCACTCGAAATGGATGATGACAGACCTAATGGAAGAAGGCCCTTCTGGTGCTTATGGGCATGACCAATCACACTAGGATAAAGTTTCATTCAACTGTGAAATCGGACATGACCGATTGATTGTTACTCGCTGCCAGGATATTGATTAGCTCTGGAGAGCTTTCGGCACAGGAAGCTTGTTAACGCTGTACAATGCACTGGTTGTTACAGGAACTTGGTTTTTATGCAATGAATGGACGAGAATAAAACTAAGCAACTGGGCGTTGCTAGATGTAGCATGCCATAACTGTCCACTCCGGTGATTTATTTTACTTTTATTTTTTTTAAGGCCTGATTGTAGGTTGTTAACGGACAGCCTTGTCTAGTGATCCACCACACCGGTGCACTGGGCTGACCAGCTTTGCTACAAGAAAAGCTTTGCACAAAAAAGTTTTCTGTCTTCCCAACTTTTCCCCAGATATTCTAAAATGTAACATGTCTGGCTTTTTATAAGACCTTGATGCATCAATTGCAAATGTAAAAGTATTTAGAAATCTGGTGTCCCAAAGTGCATCTTGTCCACAATGTCGTCTTATGTTCAAATTGATGTAAATTGTAAAAAGTTTGCAGATATACAACATGTGTACAGTTTAAAATCCTCTTGCACTGATTATTGCTTCCATCTATAGCTAATATGTGTGTTTGTCCCAGGGAATTGTTACAAAAGAAAAGAAGGAAGAAGAAACCTTTTAGACTCCTGGAGTTTTGAGTTTTTTGATTCAGAAAAGGATTGTTTTATTGTAGCAGTTCAACTTTGGTCAGTTAATTTTTTGCTAGAAGCCATTGCATTGTAGATTGATTTTTCCTGCCTCCCCTCCAACTATAAGTTCAGTGTACAAAGCACGCATTTAATGCTCCATTTAATGCTGCAGCAGTGAAAGAAGCACTTTTTGGAAATGATGTGAAATCTCTCATAAATGGAAGATAATAGACACTGACGGTCTTGGATACTGTGGTGGTCTTACTTGACTTACCTTGGTAAAGGAAAGGTATGTTTTTATTCCTTGTATTTCTTCTATCCAGTTGTTTAAAAAGCTGATTGAAAATACATTTTTCCTCTCTCTTAGGCTGTTTCATTGTAAGTCTTGCTTTGTCAGTGTTGCAGTGTTCTATCTTCAATCTCCATTTAATTCTTCGTGAAACTTCTATCCTCTAAAGAGGAAATTATTTAAATCCTAGCAAAACCAGTTGCATCCAAAACCATCTTTGTCTGTATTTAATCTGAGATTCATCTCTATTTTTAATACAGTTGAGCCTATTACGTTATACTTGCTGCATATTTTATATTAAAACTGCCAACATAATTGAATTGTTTTATCATTACACATATATATTGTAAAACAGCTCTACACTTTTATCAATGCAATGCATAAAATTCAATACATGTTTAAAATACTTCAAACGGTCCTTTGGCTGGATATTTCAGAATATTTCATTGTAAAGCAGAAAGCAGCACAATGCAAGACTTGTGATTTAATATAAGCTTTTGACTGTAAAGACTGATGAACTGCTGTAAAAGAAAAAAAAAAATCCATTTTTTCCCCCCCTTGAAATATTTATTTTTAATAGAAACAGGACCACAGATTTCATTTGGTATTATCCCATTATAGAATGTGGTATTCACTTCAGATACCAGTATCGCTGGTCATAAGAAAGCTGCCTGAAAGTGGGCTGTCTCTTCAGGATAGTCATCCAGAATACACCAGCAGAATGATGTGTACAAAAGGCACTTTATTATGTTCATCTTAAATATATTGCTGTGCCCTCAGTGGTGTAACAAGAATACTGAGGGTCATAAATCTTCCCCGAAACAGTCACTGGATCCTGATTTTTCTGATATCGTGTACTAGGAACTAGCTCCGATTAAACTTCCACCGCAGCAGTGGTTGCTCAAGCTTTCTGAAAACACCCTTTCTCCTCCTGATAACTTTCATAGGCAGGTGCAATCCAAACCGTGGGAAGGCTCTTCTAGCACCGCTGCAGGTTTAGGGAGTCCATAAAAGCAGTGTCCCAGGGTGACTATTTTACAAAGCGTGGGGGGTTCATTCCTGGGTGAACTGTAGAAAAGGCCTGGTGGCATCTACCCTGTTCACAGCAATGCCGCCCCCCACCCCCTGAGTCCTAGGGACGGGTCACATGTTATGGCTTTGACTGCATGATGTACCTTTCACCCTTAAGCTGTATTTCCTCAAATGATTTTTCAAAGTTATGTGAGAGGCAAGGATTTTTTGAGTGCTACCAAAGATAGCTGGTTTGACTAGAAAGAAAACGGGTTTTCTGCAGATGTGCTGATCCTGTTGAAAAGTATAATTAAAAAGCAGCACCTCCACCTGAGAGGTTATTCCAACTGTAGGGCTAATGAGTTTGTGACAGATATTTCTGACAATCCCTTTTAATGGCAAGCTCACTCAGGTGAGACACTTGTTCACTCTCAAGGGAACTGTAAAATGAGGGCAGTTTTCCTTTAAATCAGGGGTGCTAAAGTGTAAGATTTTTGCACCTTATGCAAAGCTTTCTGCTTCTGTGAAACAGCCTCTATAAATGACTGTGTGTTAATTGTAAGAGATGTTTTCTCCCAATAATATCAAGTTCTTTTTAATATATAAAACACTGTCAAAAGCCTGCAACTGTGATGCCATTTGATATTTCTCTCTCATGGCTTTTAGTGCTAAGATGGCAGAGTGACCATGGGAGACTGGAATTTCCTTGGTGGCATTTTGGAGGAAGTCCACATTCACTCCACTATTATTGGAAAGATCTGGCTAACTATCCTATTCGTATTTCGAATGCTTGTCCTTGGAGTGGCAGCCGAAGATGTCTGGAACGATGAGCAGTCAGAATTCATTTGCAATACCGAGCAACCTGGCTGCAGAAATGTTTGCTATGATGAGGCCTTTCCTATCTCTCTCATAAGATACTGGGTCTTGCAAGTTATATTTGTATCTTCACCTTCTTTGGTATATATGGGCCATGCCTTATACAGACTAAGAGCATTAGAAAAGGAGAGGCAAAAGAAGAAGGCACAGGTCAGACTGGAACTCGAAGGTGTTGAATTAGAAATGACTGAAATTCGAAAAAGACTGGAGAGCGAGCTTCATGAACTGGGCCAAAGAAAGCTAAACAAAGCACCCCTAAGAGGCTCCTTGCTTGGCACATATGTGATGCATATTTTTACTAGATCAGCATTTGAAGTTGGGTTTATGATTGGGCAGTATCTTCTTTATGGGTTTCAGCTTGATCCCCTCTACAAGTGCCAGAGAGATCCGTGTCCAAACACAGTTGATTGTTTTGTGTCGAGGCCAACGGAGAAGACTGTGTTCATATTATTTATGCAGTCGATAGCAACTGTGTCGCTCTGTTTAAACATATTGGAAATTATCCACCTAGGGTTCAAAAAAGTTAAGGAAGGGCTTTGTGGGCAGGATGACATTGATGACTTCTACGTAAGGAAATCGAAGGCAAACTCCGTAGTACCCCGGTCTTCCATGGGAACCTCTTCAACTCCACAAAAAACACTTCCTTCTGCACTCAGCGATTACACCTTGCTGATGGAAAAGCCTCCTGACGCAGCGGTCTATCCCGTTTTAAATCCACCTTCTGTGTTCCAGTCTATTCAAAACAGCCAGACAGAGAGTAGTGATAATTGTTTCCTGATTGAACAAAAAAATAAACTCTCAGAAGGGATGCAGACTTCTAATGCTGGCAACAGTCAGCCTGGCAAGACTAGCTCGAATGATAATGAAACTTTAATTAAAGTATTTGAGTCAGAAAGCAATTATATTCAGAAACCAGATGAAGACAAACATTTCCCCAATGGTACTTTTTGTGGTCGTATAGATGCTGCTAGAGGGACGTGCTCAAACAGCCTTGTTGACCTGCCACCTGGGTGTTCGCTGCAATCTGACATTGTGTCCGTTGCTTCAGCGGACGGCCTGGCCAAGCCAGGTGAAAATCCTTCCTTGTGGAGCTTCTCTGCCGTGTTTGCGAGTGTGGGGTCTCCAGCAAATTCTCCCGCGGGCAAGAACGGGAAACAACCTAGTTTCAGTGGAAGCAAAGCCCTGCCTGTTTGCAAGATGGGCTGCAAAACATCCAGCAGACCGGACACTCCTGATTCTCTGGGCAAGATGAGCTCGGACTCCAAACAGCACAAGGACTACGATAATCCTCAGGCTCTCTCCCTCTCTCGGCAAATGTCCGTGGCAAGGAACACCAGCAGCAGGCATTCTCCTACCGATCTCCAAATCTAAGTGACTGGCCAATACTTTCTTTTGTTTTTCAGCTAATATCTCATCAATATATTGCACCAGAAATATGTGAGCCCTGGGGAAACAGGGACGTTGTACTGTAGCATGAGTAATAGCTATTTCTGATGGTAGTCAGCTGTTCCACCTAGGGAACGTGAAACATGAATAGAGTGAGCGCTTCTTCAGAAGTTGGGGGGTACTCTTCTAAAGAAGCATGTAACAATTCAACTCAATTCAATTCATTATTAAGGATTCTGGCTAAAAGCCTTGCTCCTGAAAACAGCGTGGAAGCATGTAACAATTTATTTCTCCGTAATAAAAACATGATTTAATGGGGATGTCAGACTAAATTCCCCCACCTCCGTCCCCAAAACAGGAGGTGGTAAAGGTCACGGTCATTCGTACCAACTCCTATTGTAGGAGAATGCTGGAAATTTGAAAGTCAAGTTCTGGGCCTCACTATGTACAAAGAATGGATTTCTAACTGGCAGCATATAAAAAGATAAAGATTAATTATTATTGTCTGAAAGCATTTAATTAAGAACTGCAAGGTGAAATTAAGCTAAGGGAAAGGTACAGTCTTGCAGGAAAATCCTGTAACAGGAGTTCATTCTTTTCTCTATACCTGATTAGGAAGTGAGAGAAATCCCAGTATTTCAGCCTTTAAAAAAAAATTAACAAAAAAAACCCCAAAAAACCTGGACCAAGTCCTACACAAATGAAAGAGTTCTGTTTTGCTGAGGGTTTGGGTGAGAAATTTGGGAAGAGAAGGGAAAAGTTGAGATTTAATGAGTCCTTCCACCCTAATTTTACATTTCTGCGGCCTAAGTCATACTCAGCTGTTGTTTCCACAGGTACAACTCTGCTGAGAGCTTCAGTTGAATTTGGGCTAAACTCCTTATCCCAGACTACTGCCATTATACTATGTATTACCTTGTGACAAGCATGGATTATGAATGGCCTGTGAGCTTTTTACTATTCTTTTTCACTCGTTTAGCAATTAAAATGTGTCTTCCAGCGAGATCTGTGATGATTCAAAGGCATTTTAAATACTGCAAAGTTATCTTTAATATCCTGAAAATACAATGCACTGGTGAGGTGGCATCAGGTGCAGCAGCCCAGGTTGCTAACCCTGCACACTTGCTTCAGTTGCCATCAATGAGTGTTACTGTCTTGGGAAGAGGATCACCTCCCAGGACTATAACCCCTTTTAATAAAAAGGATCAAAAATAGCATAAAAAGGGATGCACAACCCCCCCCCCCCCAATTGTATTAAAAAAGGGATGCACAAGTCTCCCTCCAAAGTTGTATAAAAAAGGGATGCACAACCCCCCCAAATACTGCAAAAAAAAGCGATGCACAAAACCCCACTGAAATGTTGCAGAAAAAAGATGCATAACCCCCACCCACTACCATGAAAACCCCCCCCCCCCCATTGCATAAAGAGGGCAAAAATTGCATAAAAGGGAATGTGTAACCCCCCAGAACGGTGCATAAAGTGATGCACAGCCCCCTCTGAAATGCATAAAAAGGGATGCACAAAAAAACCCTCAAAACGTTGCATAAAAAAGACGTGCAACCCCCTCAAAACGTTGCATAAAGGATGTTCAACCCCCCCCAATTGCATAAAAAGGAATGCACAACCCCCCCAAACATTACATCAAAAAGGATGTGTAACCCCCCCGAATGTTACATAAAAAAGATACACAGCCCCCCCCAAAATGCATCAAAAGGGATGCAACCCCCCAACGTTGCAACACCCCCAACTTGCATCAAAAGGGATGCACAAACCCCAAACGCTGCATCCAAAGGGATGTGCAACCCCCCCCTCCAAAATGTTACATAAAAAAGGCTGCCCCCCCCCAAACATTGCATAGAAAAGGGATGCACGCCGCCCCCCGTCATATGTCCAGACACGCGAGCGTCGCAAGCCTCCGCTCCGCAGGGGGCGCTACGCCCAGAGCAGGGCCGCACGGAAGCCGGAGGCGTGGCCAGGGGCGAAGCGTCTCCCTGGCAACCCGGGAAGCGCGGGGCGGCGGCGGCCCAAAGCGCAGGGCGCTGGCGCGCAGGCGCAGTGGCGGGCCGGTTGGGATGGCGCACTACAAGGTGGGCCCGGCTCCCTCCCCCGTCTAGTCCCTTTCCTCTCCACCCCACAATGACCGCCTTGTCTTGTCTCCTCTTCCCCCTCAGGCCGCCGATTCCAAGCGCGAGCAGTTCCGCCGCTACCTGGAGAAGTCCGGGGTGCTGGACACGCTCACCAAGGGTAAGCGCCGCCTCGGTCCGGGCGCCTCACACGGCCGCGCCGCCCCGCCCCGCCCCTCGCAGCCCCCGCTCCGCTGCCCGGGGTTGAAGAGGCTGTGTTTGCACACGGTCAAATATAGCACGGGCGCGAGGGGTACACAGCCAAATACGGTAAGGGCGCGAGGGGTACACAGTGAAATACGGTACGGGCGCGGGCGCTGAGAGCTACACGGTCAAATATGGCAAAAGCATGGATGGGTATGCAGTAAAATACGGTAAAAGCAGGGGCTCCCGAGCGGTTGGGCCCCCCGGGCCGTGCTGCACGCTCCCCACGTGCCCGGTTTGCTGGTGGGTAGAGAAGGAACCACCTTTGACTGTAGGCACATTTTGAATTTAAAAAACAAACAAACAAATGCTCAAATCCTCTGAACTATTTAATTTCCAGTGTTGGTAGCCCTATATGAAGAGCCAGAGAAACCAAATAGTGCATTGGAGTATCCTTCTTGTTACCCTGCAGACGGCGATCGCAGGGATGTGACGCGGTATGGTGCTAAACTTTGCATCTGAAACTGAGTTTTAGTTTCTTTGCTACCCTGGAGAACACAGCAGCACAGTCGCCCGATGCCTGAAGAAGGGTGTTTGTACCCAAAACTTGCAAAAAAACCTTCTTTCCCAACTCTTTAGTTGGTCTAATAAAAGATACTGCATCTACCCAAGGTGTCCTTAGACCAGCACAGCTGCACCCAGCACATCTGAAACCGAGGCACCGTTTGCTGGCTCAGAGGTATGGGAGGGACTGTCGTGCCTCTTCCCCAGCCCTTCCTCTAGTAGAAGGGAGAAGAAGCAAACAAATGGTGGGAAAAGAAAGAGAAACTAAAATCTCTTGAATTGTTGGGTGAGTCAGCGCGTGGTTGGAACGAGGAACGATTACTTTTATTATCCATAAGAGTCCGTAGGGTGCACAGTGACATAAGCTCAGTTGGATATTATGTTAAAAAAAGCAATTTTCAAACCAAGTCTGAGATGACTCTCTCTAGTCTGGACTGTTTGAAAACTTAATCTTTAAAAAACAAGCTGTTACATTCCATATCAAATGTAATAATAATGGCAATCTTGGAGACAGCGCTTGGGCAATCAAGTACAGTAGAAAACTGGAAATCTCTTACATGAGAAATTACTCCCAGCAGCTTAAAGCTTGTTGGGAGTAATCAAGGCTCTGCATGAGCACTGGTCCCTGGTCTGTTAGTGTGATTCTTTAATGGCAAAAGGAAGAAAAAGTCTAGTAAACACTCTAAGACTTCTCCTTGGTGGGGAACTTCTTTCTTTGTACGTTCCAAAATAGGTTATTTTTTCATGTGTTAGTACTCACAACTCCAGTTCTCTCTTCCTGTGAGACTTCCTACTTGACATCCTGCAGCAATGATTTGAGGCTTTACTGCACACAGTGCAGTAGTAACTAGTTAAGTCTCTCTCAAAATAAAAATCATTTTAGTTTTATAGTAGTCACTTGTGGAAGAGAGCAAAAAAAACTATTAGATACTTTTTACCATGTTTTAAAACAATTCAGTTACAGTCTCCTTTCAAGGCAAAATAAATTTTGCTCATCTATTACGTCCTCTTGGGCTTGCAGATAGACATGGTGTTATCCTTCTTCCTTAAGGAGCAGGTCAGTTTAACTTGTCAATCTGTTCTGGTTTTGTTTTAGCTGTTGTTTGACTTCTGGAGTTCAAATACAAATGAGAAAAGTATCTATTGCGTTGCAGACTTGAAAGATGCTATCGATACAAATAATTCTAATTTAGCAAATGTGAAGTTTTTCTCACAGCTCATCTACCAGTGTTAAAGCCCACACTTACATAAAGTCAAACTGAAGTGGAGAAATACTTAACTTCTGATTATTAGCTTTCTGAAGCATCACCTAGGAGCTGCAGCTCCAGAAAATCCAGAAATAGAGGCACTCCGTTTGGAAGTAGCAGAAGTGAAAGAAAAATATGAAGCTGTGCTTGAAGAAAATAAAAAGTTAAAAGCAAAGGTAAGTATTGACTTAGTGCTTGGAGGCTCTTTAACATATTTAAACTGTAAATAGAAAAGTACTGTGATGTTTACTCCATGAATATTAACCACCTGTGTTTAATTAGTGTTGAATGCGGATGTTTCTGTGTACAGGTCTGGAAAGGGATGGATTCTAACTAGTTACTAATGGATTTCCAAGAGATTAATCTTATGAATGAAATGGCCTCAGTGTTCTAATATTGCTAAATTCCTAGCTTATCTTTTATTTCTCTTTTAAGCTTTGGAAAACCAGAATTTTTACAAAAAGAATTTTTAAGTCCAATGGAGTGGAAGTGTAGGATTAACTTCACTTTCTTGAAATGATGTAAAACTAAATCTAGATGACACTTCTAAACATTGTTTTGAAAATACTATAACTGCTGGGGCTTTTTGCAGGCCACGAATTCAAGGAGAGAAGCTGTGTTAGGTCATTGTGGTCAAACGTCTGGTCCGTGGGCAGGATATTGCTTAGTGGAAACATTTGTGAATGCAGAATAACTTTTATTTTTGTTAGTTGAACTGCAATAGTTTTTCCTTGTCTCTAATAGGGATTGCCTGCCCCTGTTAATAGATAGGCCTGAAGGGCCAGGAAGGGCAGTAAGGCGTAGCATTCCAGGTGGACTGGGCCTGAGGCCAGTAAGGCCAGGTGGCTAATGAAGCAATTAGGTGCACCTGATCACTGGATGCAGCACACCCAGTCACATGGGTGGAGGAGAGGAGGCTTGGGGATTTAAGCCTAGTCTCTGCCCTGCAGCAGGGAGAGGAGCTCTGAAGAATGTGGGGCTGCTGGGGATGGACAGACAGACACCCAGGCCACCCAGGAGAGCTGGGGAAGGAGGCTCGTATGAATGTTGGGGGTCTACAGGTCACATTTACCCCAAGGAGGGAGACTTTTGTTCTGTGAAGCAGCTGGCTTGTGTTTTTGTTCTGTTTGTAGCAGAGGGCTGGATTGTGGCTACAGAGGTGGATGCCACAAACAGGGGTGCCTGGGTGGTACCCCCCTGCTACTTGTCAGGAGCTAGCTCTAAGCTAAAGGAGGAGAGACTGGTGCTGAGACTGAAGCCTCAGGAGGGGCTGCTGCCTGGGAGCTGAGGTCTTAAACAGGAGACTAAGGCTGAGGGTACAACCAGAGGAAAAGGGGGTCACGGCCAGGACCGAGGCTCTGACAAGTCCTCTACTGGAGGTGTTCCCTTAAAAGGGGAATACCTTGTGGTCTAAGGACAGAGGCAGACCAGGGAAGCACTTGAAGGGGAATGCGGCCCCCAGAGCAAGCTGCTCTCAGCTCCAGGGACCACTTTTCTCAACAACAAACAGAATAACATCAGAGTAGCAGCAGGTGAGAGACTGGAGGGGAGCTGGGGCCAGGGGTAGGGGAGAGCCTGGTGGTGGGGTAGCAGCATCCTCAAGGGCTCTACAGTGGCTACCAAGAAAAAGGAACCAGAGTGATATACGCAGGGCTGTCTCTTGGTACGAAGACTCCTTTACTTGCACTACAAGCTGATGATCTATCCTGGTTCAGAAGGGGACTGGATAATTCCATGGAAGAGGACAGGCCCAGCAGTGGGTATAAACATTTATAGTTAAAGGTGCGATATTATGTTCTGGTTTGTTGGGAACAGCTTCCCTTTTATCTCAGGAAGGTATCCAATCTAGATCTGCTTGGTGTTCAGGGTGGCCATCGTAGAGGACAGTTTGGTTGACCTCTGTTGATACAAAACCGGATGCCTGTATGTTCTCTATTTTTCTCTTCAAGATAAAGGCATGGGGTTTCGTATCAATAGAGGACAGAGTAGCAGAAAACCAGAATGTCCTCTATGATGGCCACCCTATTCAGTAAGAGTTGTACGTACTGATTCATAATGAACGTTCCTCTATTTAACTGGCCAATCGGAAAAATGGATTTCTAATTGAGTGCTCTGGCTGTCTGCTATACTTCTCTATTTTAAACATGACTTCTGAAAAAATCCCAGGAGATGCTAATCCCTATCTGAACAATTGCAGTCAAGATGCTGCACTACAGCATATCCCAAAGCAACGTGGAAGAATGCGTAATACAGTCATCTAAAGCAGCAGCCTTTATTGGACAATTGACGTTTCTTTCACTGACAAGCTGTAAAGCAAGAAACTGGTCTGCTTTTAAAAAGCATCTGAAGGGATTTAGGAATACGAATGCATGGTAAATGCTTTTGAAAATCTTACCTTTAAAGTGAAAGGTTTGTTTCTTTTATACAGTGTATGAAGTTCACGGCTTGAAGGAAGGACACTTTTTGTACTTTGGAAATAAGTGCATACAAATAACAGTGCTAAATGGGACTTCACAGAATGAAATGTGCTGCAAAATAATTAGGTGCCTCTTGCTGGAAAACACTGACTTTGGTATAGCTAACAGAATTCCTCTTTTCCACCCTACAGCTGGCGCAGTATGAACCCCCTCAAGAGGAGAAGCGTGAATAGGGATACAGGAACTGTTGATGACTAGACTCAATAAAGGGCTTCATGAGAACTGTAGTTTGACTTCAATTATGTTTAAAAAAAAAAAAAAAAAAAAAATGTAGTGATCTTACATGGAGAAGGAGTTTCAGTGCGCTTCAAGCCACAAAGTGGCATTTTTCTCTCTAGAGTAGGGGCATCAAGCTCAACCCCTGCTGCTGCAGGTCACCCTGCCCCCATATCCAGTGAGCAGCGTAACTGCTCTTACCTGTGGGAGGTGAGGGTGTTACATCTGTGTTACCTCAGGGTTGAGCATGGTCTTGCGTAGAGTTTAGCACAGTGGCCTCCAACCTTTTTAAATAGGAGATCACCTTTTGGCATTTAAAAGCAACCCGAGATTTACTGTGTGCTGCCACCCCCTCCCTCTGTCCCACAGGTAAGTCTGTGGGGCGGGAAGGTGAGGTATAGAGTAAGGCAGAGAGAGAATTTTTGGGGGGTGTGCGCCTCCCTAGGAGGTAAGTTGCAGCTGGCTGGACCCCACTCAACTTACCCTGCTCCTGCCTCTGCATCGCTGTCCCTCCCTGCAGGGGCCTTGATCTACCCCCCACCTCCAAGGACTGACCTGAGGCATGCATGTGGGCACTCAGCCCCCTAGCCCAGCCTCTGATCGACTCCAAGAGCTACTGCTAGATCTAGATCCACCAGTTGGTGATCACTGGTTTAGAAGAGGGTTAGTCTGGGGTGGTTTGGATAGGGACAGCCCTACCTCGGAGGCAGGGGTTGGACTAGAGCAGCAGTTCTCAACCCCTGGGTACTGACCCAGAAGTGGGGGGCAAGAATATATGAAAGGCTCACGAACACTCGTGGAACAACGCAATTTTTTCCCCTCCTTTTTAAGGGAGAAAACCGTGGATTCTCTCTTTTTAAAGGGGAAAAACATGAGAAGCAAACACTCCTTTGAAAGGAGAAAAGCGTGGGAAATGAACTCGTGGCAAAACATGGATTTTTGTCTTTTAAAAGGAGAACAATGGGAGAAGTAAACTTCTTTTAAAGGAGAAAAATGCGGGAAGTGAACACTCGTGGAAAACTGGCTTTTTCTCCTATTACAGGGCAAAAACGTGGGCAGCAAGTGCTCCTTTGAAAGGAGAAAAGCATGGGAACCCGGTTTCCCTTTGCAGGTGGGCTCTCTCCTTCAACACAGTGGGTGAGGGCTGGCCCTGGGCGCTGACAAAGGGGTCCCGGTGGGGACAAGCAGAGCCCCCCCGGGGGGACGAGACGCGCTCCGCCCCGCCAGTCCAGCCTGCCCCCCCGCCCCTGTTGCGGCTGCAGCCCAGACCACGTGCAGCATGGCCCGGTCACGTGCGGCCGCCCGGGTCAGCTGACAGCGCCCCGTCACCTGACCAAGCCGCCCTACCCTGCTGGTCTGCACCGCAGCCAATGGTGGCGCGC